TTGAAAAAGCTGCACTATTTCGGTCGAAAAGTTGAAAATGTCGCCAGTGTACAAGTGTGGTTTGGAGGAAAGAAGTAAGTAAAATATGCAAGTACAAAACATGTCATTCTCTGAATGTTAACATTCTAGGATTTCTATGAAAGCTCTCGTTAAAAATCTCGGCGATCAGTTCAATGTGCCAATCGACGAATTGGAACATTTGAACTTGGAACAGTTTGTGGATAATGCTATTAAGGTGGAACAAGGAGAACTAGCAACTCTTAGAGTGAGTACTAAAAGTTTCTTGCTCTGCAGTTTGTCTACACCAGAGATTCAGTGTATATTTTATGATAGTGTGATGGTAAATGCTAATTATTTGGCTGGAATGTATCTCCATTTGAGAACAAAATCAGTTTATTAACCTATAACAAGCAAGCTCATCAGATAATTTCCAAAATTGTTGAATTTCCTCCAACTTTTCTCATGCGGCCTTATTCAAACATTGTCCATACCTTCAACTAGGTGATGTAATATAGTTAGACCTGCGCGAGCAGAGAAGGAGAAGGCGCGGCCCGCTTTCGTGCTATTTACAGTGTGTGGACGGGTGTTATTATTTTTTAACATTGGATTTATTCATTGGAGACAGGGGGTTGTTTGCTAAATTTGCTGTTGTGCGTAAAGGCTAAGGGTGGCAGTTTATGAAGTCACTCCAAATTAGCAGTCCTTCGGTATTCCATCAAACATACAACATTTCTTCTTTCTATGATCATCAGGTCTCCAAGTCTCAACAGCTTATTTTTGCTTGTTCGCTATATGTGAGAACATAGTCATCTTTTGGTCTTCCAAAGTTATAGAGCAATAAAATCCATAATTTACTGGTGGATCAACAAAAGTTGATAAATCTTGCTCTTGCACTTTCGCTTCGCCATTGTGAAAGTGTGGCACCCATTTTTCACACTTGTGAAAGTGGAATCCAGTTTGGAACCCTTTCTCCACCTGTTCGTACATCCTGCTCTCTAGTGTTATGATGGAGGATCAGCGACCCACCTTTCCTCGGAGGGTACTGCGCTGGTATGTTTTGGAAAAATAGTAGCACACATAAAAACATCTCCTTACGACTTTGACTCCCATTTCCAGTAGGATGATTTAGAGGTTTGCTGTTAGCGCTAAAAGTTTAAGCTCACCTTTAATGCCATGAGACGAAAAGTGCTGAGCATGGCAATCACGCTTTCACGGCGAATTATTCATCTAAACTTAAAGTTCTTTAGTTCACATGATAATGATTGATAACTGCTCTATGCCTCTATTAGGACAAAGGAACTATTTTCTGACATACAAAGAAACACACATACACAAACGAACAAGTGCTTTATTATCATGATCATGATATGTACTAATACAACATACTTCTAGCTGAGTTCAAGCATATGATTCTAAATGCTGCACTTACTTAACGGAGATAAAAGGTAAACAAAGGAGACTCTGTCCCGTAACTTTGGCTACTGTTGGCAAATTGGGAGTTTTTTCTATTGTACTTTGCTTCCTTTGCAAATTCTCATGATAAGAGTTCCTCGTTCTTATCCGTGCAAATCTCTACAGCGGTTATGAACATGTTTCGAACATTCTTGCTATTGTGGTTTATCTCGCATTGGAGCAAATCAGAAATATTCCTCAAACAGGTGATCAAGACTTAACCAAAAGCCATTGAAGCCAAGGAAGTTGGCCACTTTAGTGGATTTATGTCATTTTATTGAGCTTCATCCATGAATTTCCAGTTTTTCTCTGACGTTTAACGTGTCTTAGCTTTTGGCATTCCTCAGAGATTAATTGTTGCAAAGGATTTTCCACGCTAGAGTCTCTGGTTTGCAAGCCAGAGTCGGTAGATTGACCACTTCTGAATTTTCATGATAAGCATACACGACTGCTCAGTAGGCGTCTTGCTTTTCCCGAAATATCACCGCAGGATTGGCACGTGATG